GAAAAAAAAGTACAAAACTTAAGCAATATGGCATGCACTTCACAAGTAGAAATGGTTGGAGCAAATTGTAAATTTGTTTATAAATATTCATATAAAAATAATTTTATAGAATGAAAACACTTCTCCGGACATAGAGTCATTAAGAAAAGATTGTGCAATGAAGCCTCAAATTGAAGAATTAACTCCTATTTGTCCCCTTTTCTTGATATTCAGTATATTATTTTTTCTTTTCTAAAAATGATAAGTTTATTAATATATAATTTGAAAATTATTTCATATTATGCATATACTTTGCTACATAATTAATGTCTTTGTAAATTAATATATTTACTTTTTGTGTGTATACTATAGACAAGTCCACCTCTCATTAATGTTTGTATTTATTATTTTTATTTTATTAAATTTAATTGAATTGAATAATATAGTGCGTCTTTATAAAGGTCGAAAGGTGCATGTGCATTATATTTACTGGATAAAAACATTTCATATTATATTAGAATGTTAGGGTTTGTAATCCAAGTGAGTATATATACATTTTAAGACCTAACCAGGAACGACTGCGAAAAATGCAGCACACGGTCCTTTGGTAGGAATCGAACCCTACGATTCCAGTGCAGTCCTCTAACCAACTGAACTACAGAGGCCAGCTGTTGAGCCGTAACCGTAAGTTCATGTATATATAGGTAATCGAGTGTGCAGGTTTTGATAAGGTGGACTTCTATTATTATAACGCAGTTGTTCCTGGTTAGGTCTTAAAAGGTATATATACTCACTTGGATTACAAACCCTAACATTCTAATATTAATTTCACCAAGTGAAGTGCAAGAATCCAAATAATAGAAGTCCACCTTATCATAACCTGCACACCTGATTACCTATATATACATGAACTTACGGTTACAGCTCAACAGCTGGCCTCTGTAGCTCAGTTGGTTAGAGCACTGAACCGGAATCGCAGGGCCATAGGTTCGATTCCTACGAGAGGACTGTGTGCTGCATTTTTTGCAGTCGTTCCTGGTTAGGTCTTAAAATGTATATATACTCACTTGGATTACAAACTCTAATATTAATTCCACCCTTTCATATTATATATATTTCATATTAATATAGGCATTGCTGGTTTTTCGAGATGAGAAACTGGGGGGGGGGGATGACTTCTTAATGTTTTTCACCTAGGACAGAAAACATACCAAATTTGTGGCTTTCAAATTATCATAATATACACTCAGAGTAACATCAAAACATTATATTCACCTGAGTACATAACATCAAAACACACAAAAAATATCATGATCGTAGAACACATTGGTATTGAAGGTACTAGACTTACTTCCGAAATACCACACACTCAAACAGACTTGGGCTCATTGCTCAGTTGGCAGAACATTGGACTAGCATCCCAAAGGTCATGGGTTCGATTCCCACTTCAGTTATAAATCCTTAGAATTTGAAAGGTTTGCAACCAACATTTTGTTGAATGTTCCCTGCCTAATACTCAGGTAATTTTTGATAGCCTCCTAACTTGTAATGTTAAAAAATAGTGACCCTCTCAAAATGCAAACAATTCCCCTACCTTGACAAATCTTAACTGGGGATGCCAATGATTAGTGCATTATTGGATTTGTAAAGATGTTTATCTACCCCAATAAAGTTATGCAGAAAAAAAAGGAATGTACAAGTTGTCAAAATTATTTTGACAGGAGTACTGCAAGATTAATGTATTGATAGCAAATGTGACAGTGGACCAGCTGTTTTATTAATTTTTGGGAACACATTGATAATCTAATTGTGTATTTTTGAGCAATAGCAATTTGTATTAATCTTGTCAAATTGGTAATAAACTTTTTTATTTAAATTATCATATTCCAAATATTAATATTCTGATATGATAATTTATTAAGCCCCCTCTCATTAAGCCCTACTAGCACAAAACCACTGTAATTCATTTTGATAAGATCTTTTTATTTTTACATAAGTTTTAGCCAGTACTACCCTGGGAGCCAGAGGGTATTGTTTTTGCCTTTGTTGAATAACCCTCTGGTGAAATTGGGTTACGGGTTCATTCCACACATAACTTTCAAAATTGGAAAGAAAGAGTTGGTTGGTTGTTGAACTAGGTTCGATAGACTATGTGTTCTGATTGGATATTGTAAACATCATAGCCTGTTTGCAGGCGTTTGAAATGTCTATAATCTATATTAATAAACAAACAGACTTGATTACTTTAAAGAAGCTGTTCAGGGCTGCATTAATAGATTTCCTGAATTAAAAGCTTAACAGAGCATCAATACCGCACCTTGTCCAATTTGATTCACCGTAAAGATGTATTTTGCATCCTGCCTACCGGCTACTGGTTATGGGAAGAGTTTAATATTCCAAAGTTCTAGCACCGAGAGTAGCACAATGACTTGGCAAAAGCCACAATTTCCCGGACAAACCATTTGCAAATTGAACTTTTTTATTGACTCTCACGTCTGTGAACTAAGAAAGCGTGGATTCTGTGTTACTTCACTGTCAAACGAAGAGGATGAGAAAGCAATACTACTGTAGATGGAGAGTGCCGAGAGTTTACATTCCTATTACTTGTATGTAATCCAGATCCAGCCATGTTGAACGTTCAAAGTATGTTGAAAGTAGTGCAAAGATATGCTAAATATTAATGTTTTAAGTTGTGAAAAGTTAAGTTTGGTTTATGGTTTATAAAGTTTATCGAAGTAACAGTAGTTTGGACAAATGTAAGTGTGAAGAAGTGTATTCTGTAACTGAAAATATTGCACTTATAATGTATTAAAACACAGTCATAATTTTCTTTGTTTTTCTTTATCTTATATAGCTTCAGATTATATTTTATGCACATTTGTTTGTGTATTAAATAAATAACCAAACCGTTGTTATTGTTGTCTTGCGATATTTTTAGATAAATCCCTGTCTAGACGGCCTGGCGTCAAGGATAATGATTGGATAATATTTTTAGAATATGATGCATATACATTTTTTGCATTCCTTATCCGAACCAGGAATCACTAACAAATTCACCAGAGGTTTTCTTTTTCTTCGTACATTTTCTCGCAGTTCGCATTCACCAAACCTAAAAAACCACTGGACCAGGGTAAACAGGGGTGCCGGAACCACGGGGGCAACTGCCCCTGTTGCCCAAACAGTGTGGGGGCAGCACGGGGGCAACAGGTTGCCCTTTTTACTGGAACTGCAGTTCGAAATTCATGTGTTATTCACAGGAATTGGAATTTTTAGTTATTTTTAAGCAATGTTTAAGCAATCTTTGCTTAATTTTTAATCAGTTGTTGTAAAGTTAATGCTAAATCAGGCAATATACATCTGTTTACTGATTTTATTTTGCGCACTTAGCACGGTGCAACAAATAAAATTGTTCAAAATTAATGTCGAAGTTTGCCGACCCATAATAGCCACAAGTAATTGACTATCCATACAGTAAATGTTTAACAAATATTGCCGCTCAGAAAAATTATGATTGGGAAATAAGTGCCCTTTTGAAATGGCTGCCCCCACCGCTTTACATTGCTTCCGGCACCCCTGAGGGTAAGGCAGTACCTACCTACCACTAACAAGCGAAATTGTCTAGTTTAGACAGAGTAAATGATAAAGTAAGTTGAATCTGGGCACACTGCCGGCTATTATTGTGCAAAACACCTAATTTTCTCATCCTGGTATTTTACTTTGTTTAATGGCAGATAATTTTACTTGTCAAGAAAAAATATTGGGTTTCTCAGACGTTTTTTAAAATGCAAATGCTGCTCGCTTTTTTTTAAAAAATTTTTATATTAAACAACCAGTTTTTTTTAACAACAGAACTTAAATTGTTTAATAAAAACCAGTATTTAACCGTGTATATTTATTTAAAATACAGTATTTATAAAAAACCATGAAGTTGGTGGCCATTTGCATAAAATATTACACTGCTGACAACCCACCGCTAAATACTTTATGTAATTGTTATTTATAAAATACAAATGTGGCGGCTATTTCCCAATGCGGGCGCTGATGAGAAACCGGGAATTTTTTTACTTGGCCTAAATGAAACTTAATTGGCCTGAGTATCATTGCTCAATTTGACTTTTCAGTTAACTTGATACTGATAGTCAGGCTCCATATATTTCACTAATAAAACTTAAATCTGGTATGTGCTTTCATTAGCAAGTGAAAAGTTCTGTCCATTAACCTTCCCTTTACTCCCAGTGTATTGCATTTTGCAGCCTGTATGTCCAGTTGCTGTGGTTTATGCTGGTTAATATTTTTGAACATATCATTTCTGTCAACACAGTCTTTGTGTAGACAAGCCAACAAATTTTCAATGTCATTGATGTCCTGAAACGTTTATCGAAACAAAATACAAAATTTAAATAATATGTGTTTTAAAAGCATTTCGTTTCATTTTAATAAAATAGTGAAGATTATATCTACTTAACAATGCTTTAATCCAATTCACAAAAATACATGCAAATTTTGCTAGGCCTTCCAGCATGACCCAGTTGGGAAATTTTGTAAAACAGACAGTCCACAAGGTCATGACAGCCTGTAACTCGTCCATGCTTGGAAGGCCAGGGACTAGGACCGTAGACTGCTTCTCCACTAAATATATACGGACTACGGAATAGGACTGTAGACTGCTTCTCCACAAATATATGGAATAATTGCCTTTTTTCTGATCCCCAATCCCGGGACTTACTAGCGGGATTTGGAGCAGCTTTCCTCGTGCATGCAGTGCGGTGTACGTAACGTTTGGGCTAACCATTGCAAAATGCAGTTTTAAGCTTTAAAAAGCCTTCATCAAGTACCGTTTGTGCCACTTTAATCATTCTAGACCACACGTTGCACAGTTGATTATGTCTTTTATTACAAACTAACATACAAGCATTAATATAATTCATGTAAACTAAGCTCTTCAAATATTGAACTGTGAGTATTACTACTTAATGTTTGAAATTGGGACAACGGTCGCTTTGTTTGTTCAATGTACTTTTCTATAAGATCTCTTTCCCCTCCTCTTGATTTGTTATCTTCGGAGAGACTTGCGGAAAATCCTGCTTTCCTTCACTACTGGTGACAGGACTTTCATCACAAGGCGGTGGAGAATCTCTACCATTTTCAATGCTTGAATCAGAGCAGACTGTAAGTGTGTTGTGACTGTCGTCAGTGCTACTTGAAGCTGACAAGTTGGACTTCAATAAAAATGGGATTTTTCGCTGGGTGTCTGGAGCTGGATCTTTGCTTTTCGTGATCTCCTTTGTGGATTTCTTTTTGAACCATTCAGCTTTTCCCTCTTTTTTCATGAGGGCCGATAGTTGCCTTTCTAGAGAAGCTTGCTGTTTTCGGATTTCCATGATTTCGCTGCTGATGGTATCACATTGCTTAAAGTTCCTGATACAACGTTCTTTATCAAGTTGCCGTGCTTTAAAACCTAGGCGGTTGGTCAACGCTTCCAAGTTTTCTCGCAACAATTTTATTTCACAGGATCCGTTCTTCGGAACTTAACTTAGCTCTTTTCATAGCTGAACCCTCCGATTCTGCATCCAACACACTTTTGCTTCTCGACTTCCCCTTCATGAATTGGTAGCCATCCGACTTTACTTTTTGCTTTGCTTTGTTCAACAAATTTCCTATAAAAAACATATCCATAAATATTCCTATATTTTCGTTTTTGATTGCCCTTGCCAAGTTTGGCAATGGTCATGCTTTTAATTCTGCCTGTGAATTTGTTAATTAATTAGTTGAGAATCACAATCACTGGAAGTCTGGAACCACACCTAAACTGATGACCGTGAGCGTAGCCAACATGGCCAGTGGTACTAATATAAGCAGGATCGTCTTAACGATCATTCTTGGGTGTATTCTTATCTACGCTTGTTTTAAACGTACTACGTTCCTTAAAGAAAGCTGTGTGCAAGTTTTGGCAAACACAGAATCCGCTTGGAGGTTAAAATGGCAATATTTTAAACCGCGCTTGGAGGTTAAAATGGCAATATTTTAAACCGCCTTTTCCTCGCGACGACGTGTCAACTGGCAAACATTTCAAGCGACGTACATATCGCATATTTACTGGTGACGGCGGTTATATAACCGGCTTTTTACTTCTTTGTGGCGACATAATCAGCCAGCCTGGACCTCAAGCTTTTCCATCCTCTGAGAAACACGGTATTAAATGCCTTACTATCAATGCCAGAAGTATTAAAAGCATACACAAAACGGTTCAATCGTCCTTTGTCAGTAATATGTCTCGTGTGCAAGATCTTGTTTATGCTGAGGAGGCCGACCTTGTTTTTATAAACGAGACGTGGTTAAATGACGATATTAACAACAAAGAGATACTGCACTCTGGGTATACATTATATAGGAAAGATCGTATAAATTGAACCGGTGGCGGAGTTCTCGTCGCAATGAAATCCGCATCGTTTATGTCTACAAGAGAATATATCCCAGCTAACGATGTACTGGTCGACCAATTACAAGATTTGGAAATTGTGTGTGCTGAAATAATTACGGGCTGTAAGCAGAAATTGCTGGCGGTTTCCTGTTATAGACCCCCAGATGCTGACATAAACTGGGTTATGAAATTTCAAAATTTTTTAGACCTTGTCAACGACTTATACGACAATATGATAATATCTGGAGATATGAACTTCCCAAATATCCCTTGGGACTCATTATCATCTGTTGGGGGTACTAATGAGGAAGCATTTGTTGATACGCTTAACGATCATTATCTATCACAGGTGAATAGGCTTGGTACCCGTGGTCGAAATATACTGGATTTAATAATAACGAATATACCAGATAGAGTAAACCTTTTGGAAACATTATCTCCAGCACAGAGCGGTATTTTTACCGATCACTGTGTTTTGTTGTTCGAGTTTTCTGCTTTTGTAAAGTCATCTACGAGAATCCACCGAATTGTATATGATTATGATAAAGGAGACTTTGACAGCTTGCGTAACGCTCTTAGGGCAGTAAATCTAACCTCGATATTAGGATCTGAGGATATAAACACTGACTGGAGAAACTGGAAAGATGTGTTTCTAGCGGCAGTTTCGGATTATATCCCCACTAAAAAGCTAAAAGGTAAAAATCCTTTACCTTGGATCAATGGACAAATTCTTAATATTATGAAGAAAAAGGAAACTGTTCGACAAAAACTTAAGAAATCATCATCTAGTTACCTGAAGGAGAAATATAGACAGTTACGCAAGCAGGTGAAACAAATGTTACGCGATAGTCGCGACCAGTATCTTGGGTCAGTGGAATCTGAATATAAGACAAATCCGAAGCGTTTCTGGTCACTACTGAGATTAAAATCCAAGTCTCGTAGTGTACCGCATCGTATTTCTATGGCAACAGGAACCGAAGAGACTGATGACACATCCTCAACAGTGCCCAGGACCTTTGCTGAAAGCCCGAAGGCGATATCGAACTTATTTAATCGTTATTTCGCTTCTGTGTTTATCAACAACAGTACGAACAACAGTATTAATTCCGGAAACGCCGGCAGTAACATCTGCGACATGGATCAAACAGCTCCGAACGATATTAGGTTAACTGCTAGCGAGGTGCAAGCTGTACTCAAATCCTTAGATGTTTCTAAGGCAACTGGTTCTGACGAGATCCCGGCACGACTGCTCAGGGAAACAGCAGAAGTAATCACGCCATCGCTGTGTCACTTGTTTAATAAATCACTTAGTACCGGCTCTATACCCCGCGAGTGGAAATTGGCTAATATAGTACCAGTTTATAAAAAGGGAGAGCGTGAATACACCGAAAATTATCGACCAATCTCGTTGTTGCCAATAACATCAAAGGTTCTGGAACGTTGCGTCCTAAATAATGTGAAAGATTGGCTTTACGGCCTAGTTAATGAATGTCAGCATGGATTTCTTATCGGAAAATCCTGTGTTACGAACCTTATCGAAGCTTTAGATTACATTGGATCTGTCCTGGATAAAGGTGGACAAATTGACACCATCTACCTCGACATGTCAAAGGCTTTTGATAAGGTTGATCATGGACTGCTTATAACCAAATTGCGTGGGATGGGAATTAGTGGATCATTTTTGCAATGGTTGACAAATTACCTGACTGACCGCCAACAACGAGTTACGGTACTTGGAGAAACATCTGATACGATACCTGTAACTTCTGGGGTGCCCCAAGGTTCACTGCTGGGACCAGTGCTATTTTTGCTCTTTGTTAACGACCTTCCGGAAACTGTTATATCGAGTAAGACATCTATGTATGCTGATGACACGAAAGTATTTAAGGCAATCAAAGTACCGGAAGATGCTTTAGCTTTACAAGCAGATCTAACGAGTGTAAGTAGGTGGTCGACAGGCTCGGGATTACAGTTTAATGGGGAAAAATGTCACGTACAGTCTATAACTCGCAAAAAAAGTCCAGTTATCTCTACCTATACAATAAATGGGGTGCCACTTAAATCGACGCGGTGCGAGCGGGATCTTGGTGTTCGCGTTTCTTCAGACCTCATATGGAAGGAGCAGGTTATGGGACAAGCTGCACATGCAATGAAACTTCTTGGTTATATTCGAAGAAACACGCGTAGTATCAACAGTACATCAATTAGGAAATCAATGTACCTTGCGTTGGTTCGCCCACACATTGGCTATGCTACGCAAATCTGGGCACCTCAATCCATCGACCTCATATTAAAACTCGAACGAATCCAGCGAAGGGCCTCAAGATATATTTTAAACCTACCATTCAGCAGCTGTGAAGATTATAGTTCAAGGCTACAGTCACTGAATCTCTTGCCTATATGCTACTGGCAAGAATATTTAGACCTTGTATTTTTTTACAAATCAACCCACGGCCTGGTGAACTTGAATCAATCTGTTTTACCTCATCTCCGTAGTACCAGGTGCACGCGATCAACGAACACTGATATCGTAAAATATGATGTTCCCAAATGTAAAACTACTACATATCAACACTCGTATACCATCAGAGTCACTCGCATATGGAACCTTCTAGCTAAAGATATAAGAACAAGCACCTCTAGCGATAGTGTGAGCGTTTTTAAATCATTTTTATTAACTTACTATTTCACTGCTTTAAAGAATACTTTTAATATAGACGATCCTAGAACTTTTAAAACTATTTGTTGCAAATGCAACACAGCTCGTAGTCTCCGAAGGGAGGTTGTCTGCTGTTTTTAACTAGATATTTCTATACTCATACTTAATTAATCTTATAATAATGTATATATACCATATAGTTATAGTGATATCTATTTTTATAATATTGGGACCGCTGTAATTGGCCTCAAGCTGTTGCGGTTGCTCTACCATATTTGGTAAAGCTTTTAAATAAATAAAATAAAATGAGAAGATTGTAACTTGGTTTACCATGGTGCTGTGGTCAAGCTCACTTTGTATTATAACTATTTTGGTTTTGTTAAATGTTTATTAGGGACTGTTTGTTAAGGGTAAAATGAGCATGGCGGTCAACATGGCATATGTGCCAAAACCTAAATCCGGGACAAAAGTCCTGAAAATGACCCCACCCTGAAACGGCAGTGTCAACAAAGCTCTAACTTCTGAAAAGGAAAAGCAATAGCCTTTCTGAAGTGCTTATAGTGTTCAGAAGGGTTGGTTTTAGCGGTGGTAATTGAAGGAAAAATTTGTCTAAGTATATTTTACAAGAAAATGACCATGCACCACCCATTAAATTCTCTTATTTCCTAAAAAAATTATCATGGGGTGAAAATATTTACACATATGCCCACATTTCCACAAATGTTGACCCGCCATGGTAATTTTACCCTAAAACAGTTGAGATTACCTGTCCTAAATGAAACACATACAAACTCGTATACAGATCCTAGACTATCTATTTTAGGTACAATAATTGGCCATTCATTAACATTCAATACAGGGGGGGGGAGGAGATTTCAATTAGAATGCAAAATGTTGCACAATATTTGACTATGATTGTAAAAGTGCTCTGCAACTATCACTAAATAATATACTGTATAGATATATACCCTTGTTAAGAACTAGCATTGGGTTCTCTCTTGCAATAGTTGCAGCAGCATCGTTCACTGTGCATTGGTATTTTGTCAGCGGTTTATTTGAATTTCGTCCATAAATTTTAGCCTTTTCAATAATATCACTGACTTTTCAATAATATCACTGACGCTTCATACTGGGCAGTTTCCTATCAAAATATAGTAAATATACAGTGACACTTCAAATTCAATTTAACTTTTTATTTAGATTTCTCACCAACCGCATTTCCAAATTGTACAGTACATGTATATGCAAATGCATAAATGAACTAAAGTTAAAGTGGAAGTCAAGTCCGTAATGTAAACAAA